TTGCCTACCAAAAAGTTTTGGAAACTTTCTTGGGGGAAAATTTTTCTTTGGGAATTTTAACAAAATATAGACAGAAAGACATATTTGGGGGAATGATGAATGGAGAGAGACTGCACGGAGAACTTCTCATCATTACAGAACTTTTCATCGAAATATTCTCATCATTCCATGCCCCAACTTATTATGATACAGAGGAAATCTCTACAGGGTTTTCCCAGGAACTGTGAACCAAATGTCATCCTGTCCCCTTGATCAGAAGGTGGAGGTCCTGATGTGAGCCTGATATGTAGCTTCTTTCCTCCTGATACATTGGATTCTCAATCTAGGTAAGAACTTTTGATATTAAAACAGACCTTAAAACTTTTGAAACCAACAGACCTCAGGAAAGAAATCAAAAGAGGCAAAATTCCTCTTTTGGGGAAAGACTAAAAAAAGCTATTACAGGGAGATGTTGATGATTCTAAAATAAATGCAAAAAGTTTCAAAATGAATAGATGTTAATTTAATTTTACTCCTAGAAGTTGTGGTGTCTCTCTAACTAAATGAGTTGAATTCCTAGGGCCCAGTCCTAATCCCTAATCCCACATAAGGATTGGGACTTCTTCCCAGTTCCCACTTGTTGAAGAATGTTCAAATCCGAAATTCAGAATCCAGAAGCCATGGAACAAAGGAGTCTGGATTCCTTACAGTATGACTATCTTGATAAGCAGGTACCAGTAGCCTCTTCAGAAGCTATGGCAGGCCCTTTGGACCACAATTCATGGCCACCTTTTTTAAGGAACTGACACATTAACAACCCAACAGTTGCAGCTCCATGGCCACAACGTGCATTAGTGCAGCTCCATAGCCACAGAAAGAAACTCCTCCCAGACACAAGTAAGGGAAGCCAGGTGTCATTATTGCCACAAGCGACCTGGCATGAGCCTGCTGTTGCCCCAGATGGCATGGGGAGACCATACTCCCAGTCTCAGATTTACCACGAGTTATTCAAAGTAGCCAGCGCATCAGTGCCTCCGTGTGCCTTCCCCTGGTCCCTCTAATGGATTCCTGCATGGTACCTTGCATCACTTGAGGGTTTTGAATGTGTTTATGAGGCAGGAACCACTTTTCACTGTTGAATCCCAGCAGGAAGCACAGTGCCTTGCACATAGTAGGCACATAATGAAAATGTGCTGGATGGAGAGAGGTGCCATTGGAAAGCAGGTTACTAAAAGAAGGAAATTTAGATGTTAGACATTTTTAACTGTTGGCATTGAATCACTTTACAGTTTTTAATTATAGCAAGCGTACGACCAAATTTTAAGTTAAAAATTGAAGGTTATAAATAAAAACGTTCTATAAAAGATGTTCATTCTGTTCCTGAGATATAATAAACTATGAAATAGCTAAAAAATGCTACAACTTAAACCCCATTGCAAAAATGTCTTTAAAGCCAGAATATATCTACAGTTTTTCCTCCTTAATTTCCCTTTGTGCTGAATTTTGAATACACATAAATTTTTCATTTTGGTAGCCTTAACGATTTTAATTTTCATCTAACTCAATAATTTCTGTAGAGTGATAGTTATAAAAAGAGTTAAAGTAAGAGCCGGGCAGGGGGAGGGGAGAATGTCTGGGAACGACTGTAAATCTTAGCCTTGGTGAAGCTTTGGCAGAGAGAATGGAACACAAAGAACCCTCAAAAAACATTCTCAATATTTTGAATTTTACCAGTATAAAAATTGTAGAAACTTGTTTCTCTCTTGGTACCTGAGAATATAACTAATATCTTTGAATTTGCTTCGTGGCCACAAAGCCTAAAATATTTACTGTCTAGCTGTTAACAAACAATGATTTGCTAATTCCTGTTCCACATTGAAAACTACCAAACAATGTTTAGAGAACTCAAAGACCTAAGAGTAGAGAAGTCTGCCTCTTCTCAGGTTGGAAAATTAATATTGTTAGGATGTCCTACCTTCCTGTTATTGATGGATAAATCCAGTGCCATCTAGATCAAAATTCCAGTTTAATTAAATTAAAATCAATAGGTTGACTCTAAACTGCTTAAGGAATCATGAAGGACTTAGAATACTCTCCAGCACAGCAGGTGGATTTACTCTACCAGATTTCAAGGCTTATGGTGAAGCAATGGTAATCAAGACAATACGTTATTGACACAAAGCTAGACAGATCAGTGGAACAGAGTCCAAAAATATTCCCATCTTTATACCTTCAATTGATTTTTCATAAAGGGCCAAATAATTCAAAAGAGGAAAGGAAAGTCTTTTCTACAAACAGGGCAGCAATAACTAGATATGTGTATGAAAAATAATAATTCATAATTATGAATCCTATCATAAGCCTAACTAGAAAACCTAAACCCAGAAGATCATGTCTTCTCCAATCTTGGGGTGAGCAAGGAGCTTTTAGGCAGGACACAGAAAATGCTAAGAACAAAAAATAAGTAATATGTTCAATTTCAGAATATATCAAGAACTCCTAAAACTTCATTTTCAAAAATCAGTTAACCCAATACAAAAATAGGCAAGAACATACATTATCACCAACAATGATACATAAAGTACCATTATGCACAGGAAAAAGTGTTTAAGAACATTAGTCATTAGGATAATACAAATGAACCACATGGGAAGCCACAGTACCCCCACTAGAACAGCCAATATCAAAAACACTGACATTGCCAGAGGTTTCGTAAGATATGGAGCAAGTGGAACTCTCTCGCCCTTCTGGGGGAAATGTGAAACGTGAGACTGTCGGCAGCTTCCTGTACAGCTAACTTATATGTCCACCTATGAGCCAGAATGCCTACTCCTAGGGAATTATTTATTCAATAAAAATTTTAAAATATATTCCCAAAAAGAAGAAGACCTATTTACAATAGCCAAAAATTGAATGCATTTATGAGAGAGTATAACCCAAGTATCCAGACTTCAGTATGTTTGAAGGTAGGACAATGCTCAGCCTGCAACCACAAGTAGGAATCTCTAAAACTTTCTGCTGGGTGAGAGAGCAGATGCCTAGGAGTGCACACTGTGTGACTCTATTCATGAGTGACAGATCAGAACAAGGGTCTCCTCTGGGAAGGGGAACTCTTCACGCTGTACATTTAAGGTCTGTGCATTTCACTATATTAATTACAGTTCAATGTTATTGTTTTTTTTTATTATTGTATTTTTGGTATCAGGGATTGAACCCAGGGGTGCTTAACCCCTGAGCCACATCCCCAGACCTTTTCATTTTTTATTTTGAGACAGGGTCTTCCCTAGATGGCTGCAGCTGGCTTTGAACTTGCAAAGTTCCTGCCTCAGTCACCCAGCTGGGATTACAGGTGTGAGCTACCACACTCTGCACCTACAGTTCAATTTATTTATTTATTTATTTTCATTTTTGGTACCAGGGATTGAACTCAGGGGTGCTAAACCACTGAGCCACATCCCCAGCACTTTTATTTATTTATTTATTTTTATTTTAATACAGGGTCTTGCCAAGTTTCTTAGGGCCTCACTAAGTTGCTGAGGCTGGCTTTGAACCTGTGAGCCTCCTGCCTCCGAGCCTCCTGAGCTGCTGGAAATACATGTGTGTGCCTGGAAGTTCAATTTGAAAAAAGAAATAGAGCTCGACATTCCATCACACCACACCTGCAAATTTTTTCAGGACATGTCCGAATCTTCTCTTATTGTGGCCCCATTTCAGCTGCGACTTCACTTCCTCCGACTGGATAAACTTCCACCACTGCAATGGCCTCCTAACCAGACTCCCAGCCTACTGGCCCTCTCCAGTGACCCCTTCACACTACAGGCACTGACTGATCTGAAATGAAAATAGTCCAGCGTTGCTCTTCACTGCCCTTAGGATAAAGGGCACCTCCTGCAGCCAGGGCCCTTTGTGATCTAGTCACCTCCCCCACCACCTACCTGCCCATTGCTAACTGTCTCGCAGGCCACTTGGGTTAACTTAGCTCTGATTTTACACATTGCTCCCTCTGCTTTCAATGTTCAAACATCACATACACACACACACACACACACACACACACACACACACACACACACCTCTTCACCTAGCCAACTCCCCTTAGTTCAGGTCACCACCTGGTTAGAGAACTACCCTATGCTTTTGTTACGTTCCTCCCTGAATTAGCCTGTTTTCCATCCATGGTGACAAAGTCTCTGAAACAATCAACTTACAAGGAGGAAAGATCTATTCTGGCTCACAGACTCGGAAGTTTCAGCCCATGGTCACTTGGCCCAGGGTCTTTGGCCTGTGGCAGCTCAGCACAGCTGGAGCACACAGCCGAGGAAGACTGTCCACCTCATGGCAGCCAAAGCAGAGAGAGGAGAAGAAGCCAAGGTCCCAATATCCCCAACAAGACACAGCCCAGGACCTGGCTCCTTCCCACTGGGCCCCACCTCCTCAAAGTTCCACCCCCTGCCAAGAGCACCGTGACTAGCCCTGAACACATGTCCTTTGGGGACACTTAAGATCCCCCTCAGCCTTCCAAT